TTTTTTTTTCTCCTAAGGTAACATTTAAAGAAATATATTAGAAAAAAATTTGGAATCGCTTCGGATCACTAAATTCACCGTTTTAGAACAAAAGTGTACCATATTTTTGGGAATGTGTGTATCGATACCTAATTCGCTAGAGTATTAGCGTTTTCTGGTAATATAGATTTCTCCTTACATTGGTACTTATGATTTCTTGGCCAATATTCAACACTTAAACCGTAGATCAAGGCTAGTGTTTAACACTCCCTAAAGGCAGAATTCATCCCTTGCACTGGTGCTTAGGACTGCTTGGCTAGTGTTTAACACTATCATTACTATGTCCTCGAGACATAGTTCGTCCCCTTACACTCTGCTTACAACTTTTTGGCTAGTGTTTAAGTATAGGACCTTAAGACAGGAATTTGTCCCTTACATTGGTGCTTAGGGCTTCTTGGACATCTGCCTTGTAGGACAGAATAACCCACACCCATACCCGACCCAGTGCGAAGCGGCAGCAGCGCTCACGCGGTCTAGTCCACTCTGGCTAAGTCCTCCCGCATTTGTTTCACAGAAAATCAATGTGGACAAAGCTTACAAATATTAGTTACCATTCTTCAACCAATGTTCAATGGGTGATTTTTAAGTCAATTTTTCATTCACTCCTTAATGGTTTTGCTGACCAAACTAAAGTTTGTGATTCATCTACACAAAGGTGAACACGTTACAACTCAGACCCTTTGTGAAAGATGTGTGGATCTCATCTTTATTTTATCCCAAATTTGGCCAAAAAACTATTTGTTAAAACCAATTTTCCAAGAGTGTGCAGCTATTCTATGTTTCTGGAACTCCCAACTAAAACAGACAGACAGATTATTTTCTTTCTTGTAGACAATTGGGAATTTGGTTTCTTTTGTTGGGAGATTTCTGGTACTGTCTTTACTGGATTAAAATTTTACAGTTAACTGAAGCCTACATGTTCATTCCCATTGTAATGATTGATTCATGATTGTTTTTAACCTTAATTGCTGATCTTATAGTTGATCACATTCACTGGTGCTGTCTTATGTATTTGTTTTTATATATTGATATCTATGCAATTGCCTCTTTCTTTCTTTTATGTAAATTGCTAGCTTCGACTGACGTTAGTTTTGAAATGTCTTCTCATTCTACCAATGCAGTTTAAGCCTGCAGAGATCACTGGTATCGTATCATGAATGATTTTGCTGAACCAGGACACCTAGCCCCTACGGGGTTACACCTAGCGGGCACAAAGTACATGGTCATCCAAGGAGAGCCTGGAGCTGTCATCCGTGGAAAAAAGGTGATGTATATGCTCCTTGATCCCCTTGTATTGAGTAGCATTGTCCTGCATAACTTAAATTATTGGCTCAGCTTTTCTCAACAAAACTTTCATCGAAGCATGTATTTGTGGTGAACATCTTAATCCTAACTAGAGGCCAAAGTGAAGGCTTAAGCATTTTTAAAAAAAATTAATTTAGACATTCTTTTCATCGTCTCTCCCTTAAACCATCTACCTCTATTCCCTGACTCATTATATTTTAATTTTGAATGCTGTATAGAAGTATTTTCTTGACCATATATACCTGCACATGTACTTTGTCTGGCTATATTATGTATATTCCTTTACATACATACATGGGTATGTTTGATTGGAAGGATTAAAGCATGGGATTGGGATTATTAATCCGTGGGCCCAATCATCTTATGTTTGTTTTGACACTTTGGTTTAGAATTATTAATCCAATGGATAATTAATCCAACAAATTTGTAGGATTATTAGTAATGGGGTAGGGGTGGGATAGTTAACACCACACTAATTTGATAAGATTATTAATACTTCACTAATAGTGAAGTGAATCAAACATGACCACAAGGTATGATTCCACATTTGCTGAATTTGGACATTATAGACATATAATTTGATGGACTTATGGACTTGTTAACTTATTTGATAACCATGAGTTGGAAACCTGCAAGTCTTTAGCCGGTGACATGGGGAATAGTGGAAGGGCCCGTGTTTAGAATTAGCTAAAGATGTGTTTCAGTGGAATTATATATTGAACAACTTTTGCAATTGCACATAGTACTATATTCTAAAGGGAAAATAACATGTGAGAGGTTTCTGTAAAAATTAATTACAAATGCACGGTAAAGTTTATAATTTTGCTTTTTAATATGTATAAAGTTTATCATTAATCTTTAAACATTTTTCTAAATATACACTGGAATGAAATTACCCCTATTCTAAATACACTTGTTAATTTTCTAATATTTAACCATTTCTGCACTGATGTATACACATCATTGATGCTCCAACCCATTTGGCAATCATACTCCAACAACCTTCTATTCTTGCGTTTGTCCTGTTACAATATTCAATAAAGTAATTACTATCGAGCACATTTTATTCTCTACTATAATTTTGTTCCATTTCCAGTTAGAATGTTGCTAAGAATCGCGTCCAAATGAATGGTCAGCGACGGACATAATGTCCGCATTTTTTTTTCTCCCTGTTTGTGCACAGTTTGTTTAACTAGAGAAATGTTTGTACTGGGTTTTGCAGGGATCAGGAGGACTCACTATCAAGAAGACTGGGCAAGCTCTAGTGTTTGGTATATACGAGGAGCCTGTAACTCCTGGACAGTGCAACATGGTTGTTGAGAGGCTGGGAGATTACCTCATTGATCAAGGCCTGTAGGCCCAGATCATGCCATGAGATCCTAGAACATCTATGGGGAATAGTGGAAGGGCCCGTGTTTAGAATTAGCTAAAGATGTGTTTCAGTGGAATTATATATTGAACAACTTTTGCAATTGCACAAAGTACTATATTCTAAAGGGAAAATAACATGCGAGAGGTTTCTGTAAAATTAATTACAAATGCACGGTAAAGTTTCTAATTTTGGTTTTTAATATGTATAAAGTTTATCATTAATCTTTAAACATTTTTCTAAATATACACTGGAATGAAATTACCCCTATTCTAAATACACTTATTAATTTTCTACTATTTAACCATTTCTGCACTGATGTATACACATCATTGATGCTCCAACCCATTTGGCAATCATACTCCAACAACCTTCTATTCTTGTGTTTGTACTGTTACAATATTCAATAAAGTAATTAATATCGAGCACATTTTATTCTCTACTATAATTTTGTTCCATTTCCAGTTAGAATGTTGCTAAGAATCGCGTCCAAATGAATGGTCAGCGACGGACATAATGTCCGCATTTTTTTTTCTCCCTGTTTGTGCACAGTCTGTTTAACAAGAGAAATGTTTGTACTGGGTTTTGCAGGGATCAGGAGGACTCACTATCAAGAAGACTGGGCAAGCTCTAGTGTTTGGTATATACGAGGAGCCTGTAACTCCTGGACAGTGCAACATGGTTGTTGAGAGGCTGGGAGATTACCTCATTGATCAAGGCCTGTAGGCCCAGATCATGCCATGAGATCCTAGAACATCTTGTCATACACTGATTTTCTTTTTCTTTTTTCTTTTTTCTTTTCTTTCCTTTTCTTTCTGCTTCGGAGCTTTGAATTTTCTTCCTTCCAAAGACTTGAAATGGAAGCGGAGTTGTTCCAGACAATAACTGTGAAGACATAAAAACAGTTGTTTGGTGTTTTGAGGTTTTTCCCTAATTGGCATTGTTTTCATTCATTCTTGATTTGTATGTGTATTTCAATTTTCACCACCCATTTGTGGTCTCTTTCTGTCAGCATTGCATTACAAATTTGTGATATCTCATGGAACTTGTAAGCTGTCATGGTTGGGCACTTAGCTGGAAAATTATTTGTTGGTCTAGGGCATCACGTGGCCATATCTCATCATGTTTCTCAATCACTCAACAAAAAATCGTGGGTCCTATCCCTCCACCAATCACAATACACATGGAGCATCACGTGGCGCTGCCTCAGGACCATCAAATAACTTCTCACTTAGGTGGGGCTATTTTTTCGGTCATTGTTTGCTTTTCTAGAATCCAAAAAAGTTGATGTGATTTCTTGCTAATTGCTATAATTTTTTATTTTTTTTTGATAATGGAGAAAGTTTGTTAGTCTTTTCGAACTTATGCTGTTTGTGAAAAATTATCATATTTCCCTCAAGTATTGTGAAGCCCTTAACTAAAAGGTCAATTACTAATTCAGACCAAAAAGGATTTTAACTTTTGACTTGATTGGTTAAAAGGACAACTTATTTAGAGATTGCCAAATAAAATTGTGAATTACTGTGGCTTTTGCTCATCACATTCACATTGTTGTGTTTTGAGTTTAATCTCGAGACAATTTTCAATAGTCACCGTGTTTTGAGTTTAATCTCATATATGTTTGGAGACAATTTTCAATACTCATCTTCAAGGGATCTATAAATGCATTGAAAGAAGTTAATTGGGCACCCTATTTCTTAAGATACTTTAAACTCATATTTCAATGAATAATGCTTGGGACCCCCTTTTAAGGGTCACCCCCTCACCCCCTTTGCCACATGGTGGGTGGTGATTGGAGGAGCAGGAAAAAAAAGAAAAAGAAAATGTAACCAATGAGAGAGAGAGGGGGTCAAAGGGGGTGGGGGGAAAAGGGGGGATGAATCATTGTTGTATTTCAATTTCTTATTTTGTCGTTTGTACGCCCCAAACAATCTCAATCCCATCCCAACCAACTTTCCAACCTTAACTCTAGCTTCGACCATACCTTCCTAATCTCTGAAAACCCTTAAACTAGCCCCTTCAGCTCAAGTAAGTTGTTCCCAAACGCCTTCCTTTATCATTGTCTCTACTACTCTCACAAATAGGCCCCTTGCCACTCCCAGCCCCTTCTACCTCATTTGCAACTCGTGAACCCCCTATTCCCCCTCTACAACTCGCAAACCCCCCTCTTTATTAACCTTTGCAACTCGTGAACCCCCCTCTCCTACCTTCTCCACTGCAAACCCTAGATCTAGGGTTTTTAGTTTTAAGGTTTAGATGGAGGAAGAATGAGGAGGAGGAGAAGAAAAAAATAAGACCACTGCAAACCCTAGATCTAGGGTTTTTAGTTTTAAGGTTTAGATGGAGGAAGAATGAGGAGGAGGAGAAGAAAAAAATAAGAGAATGGGAGGGGTGGCTGGCAAAAGGGAAGGGTGGGGTCGGTGAGAGTTAAAGAGATTCAGCAATGGAGGTGGCTCGGTGGTGGAAGAGGAGGGATGGGAGATTGACAAAGAGTTGGGGAAAGTGAAGGTTTGGACGTGGTGGCCAGAGGTAGGGGTGTAAATTTGGCCCAGCTCGACCCACTCGAGTCCGAGCTTGGCGTTGGGTCTCGCGGGCTCCTGCCAAAATTCGAGCTGAGCCATGGGCCAGAAAATTAGGCCCAATCCCAAGTCCAGGCCTATAGGGTATTCGAGCCTTGGGTGGGCTGAGTAAGTGGGCTCGGGCTTGGGCAAGGATTAAACATTTTTTAAAATTTTTTTCTATTTTTTTCACCAAATTTTATTTTTTTCCACCAAAAATGATACTAGACCTTAGCCAGGGCAAGCCTCGAGCCGAGTTTTGAATAGGCCTTGAGCGAGCCAATGGGTCCGACCCACAGGCCGAGTTGGGCTTCAAAATAATGGCACAGGCCCAGGATCTCGAGCTGAGCTCGGACCCAAGTCTAACTAGGCCTAATTGGATGGCCCCAAGCCACGGGTGGGCTTTGGGCCGCCCACGGGCCATTTATACACTTCTAGCCAAAGGGGTTGGGTAGTGGCGAAACAAGATAGAAAGGGAGCTATGGTGCTACCAGTGATAGTGGCAGCAGAACTGCAGGAGCGAATAATGGTAGGGATTAAGGCTTTGAATCGTGTCCTTTTTAATAAGTTAATTTAAAGGCATAATGGCATTAGAAAAAATAATAAAAAGTGGGGTGCATCTTCTTGGATACATTTAGGATAATTTTATTTCTACATACTAATTCTCTCACATATTTAATTAAAAATTTCTTTAATATAATTTTGCTTTAGAATAAAAATACCATAATAGCTTTATCTTCTTCTACATAAATCCTAATTCTATCCTCTATCACAAGCACCACATCTCTCTTCCAACATCCTCTCTCGTCACCTCTTTTCCCATTCGCATGCAACCACCTTCCGCTATGAACCAAACACTCCAACAAGTCCCCTGCCACAACTATAGAGGACTAGAATGGAAGAGGATGAGCTGGGAGTAGCGGTGGTGGTGGCGATGAAGGACTAAGAGTGATGGCAAAGGCGGCGAAAGAGAGGTGAGTGGATGGAAGAAAAATTGGGGTTTTGAAATTGAAGATGAGAGTATTATTGAAATAAAGAGATGTGTAACGAGATTTTTTAAATTTTTTTTTTAATGTGCATATTAAAAGCTGTAAATTAAATGTATGCACTAAGAAAAATTAATTTGTGAAAATAAAAGTACCTGTGCATTTAGTTTCTTTTGAGTTCAAACTAGACCAAAACACCCCTTTTAACACTCAAATAAATAAATAAACTGATTTTATTTTTTTTTCAAAATCTCTCATATTCGTGTTGTTATTTTCATCAAGCAAATGAATCTCTAATTTATTTTGCATATTTCAATAATTCTTGATTTTTTCTAATCTCACCATGTATTACAAATAATTACCACATTTTTCCGGAATTTTGTAAATGATCAAGAAAGTTATTGAAGTTATGGCTCATATTTAACAAAACTATTGATTCAAAATATGCATTCTATAACAATTTAATTCTCAAACTTTTATTTTATACAATATATTACATTTTTGTCACTAAAATCAATATTGTTCATAATCCGTAATGGAATAAAGGGTATTTTTTGAATTTTATATAAAAAAAATCCTATAAAATTAAACAATGAAGCAATGCATATTTTAGGAATGCAAATGTCACAAAATGCATGCTTTTAAATCATGTGTATCTTTGGTCATTTTAATTTTATTGAAACCTCATATAAAATTTTAAAAATATCTCCCCTCTTGTTACTGATTTTCAATGACGCTTACTCAAGAACTAAAAAGTGTAACAAATCACATACTTTGAGGAACAAAGTAGAATAATTAACTGAGCACTAGGGCCATAAATTCAATTTTAAAATTTTTGAGCAATAGTTTCAAACTCTAATCTTTTAAAGCTAACAATTTGAAAGATTATATTATTTAATTGTCCGCTATTCCACATGCCTACTTAGTATCACCTATCTACCCATATATTATCCACCTATTTATTCATATGTCACATATTTGTCTACCTAATCTATCTATATGTCCATATATTACTACCACTAGCCACGGCAGACAATTTTTTTGGCAAGTTTTTTGGAGATCGACAATTAGCAATCTAATGATAGTGGTAAAAAATAAAAAAATAAAAAAATAAAATCCTTATACTTCAAAATAATAATTTATCATTTTCACAAATAATTTAATTAATCATATTCTTACAATCAAAACAAAACAATACTTAAAACTTACACACACTCCTAGGATTGGATTTCTACCAATTTTTTAAATAATTAACCATTAAACATAAGTGAGCCACCAAAAAAGGAGTACTATGAATTGGTCTGAAGAACATGGCTAGATACGCTTTTAACATAGGATGGTGGGTGAGCCATGGTCTGGAAGGCCCCAAATCAAGCCCAAAAAGCTCCTTTGACCACATTATTGGTCTGCCATTTATATAAAAGCAAGCACAAAGAGGGTTGGCATCTAATTATTTTAATTTTTTTTTTCTTTTCATTTTCAGATTTGTTGGTCCCAAAATTGGGATTTATGTATATTGATAAAAGCATATCAGGACCCACCCACTGCCTCCAACAACAAAATGGATAAGGATGGGTAAAGGTATAGAGTGTAATTGGTTTAGTTCATTTGGAGTTGAAAAAAAAAAATTAATATTGAATAATTTAGTGTTTTGTTGGTTGAGGAATTAAAACTGATCATATTGCTCAAATTTTCGATTTAGTGTGAGTGTGGAATTTACAAAAAGTTTTAAAATTTTTATAAAACTTGTAGAATCTCACTTTGAAAATCAATAAAGAAAAAATGTGAGCACTGCTTTATAAGAGCTCGTTTGGGATGTGGGTTGACTTTTTGACTTTTTGGTTATTTTAGATCAAGTTTGGGAAGTCTCAAAAAAGTCAAAAAATTACTCAAAAAGTTAAAAAGTTATCACTATTCACCAAAAGTCAATAATTACGACTGCACAACTCCCAATACTAATTTTCTCCTACACATTAATTTATACAATTTTTTAATACACATTTTTCTATAAAAAATCAAAAAGTTAACCCAAACATTCATATTTTCAACCTCAACTTTTTAATCTAAAATGACAAAAAGTGCACTTTTTAGTCTCGTTTAGGATAGGCTTTTTGACTTTTCTGACTTTTGTGAGAGAAAAAATGAAATGATTATAAGTTGGATGTGACATTTTGTTCTAATTAGCTAAAATAACTTATTTTATCTTATAGGACTATTTTAGCCCAAATGTTCTTCCCAAGCAAGATCTAAATGCCTCCCTCCCTACCTTTTATATATATGTTAGGATTGTAAGAAAAATTAGTAGAACCGAACATATCACCAAAGATTTATCAAATTTCAATTTTTAGTCAGTTTATATATATATAAACTATATGCGATGTTGCTAATAGCATCCACACAAATATTGATGTAATTATTTAATAATTTTGAAATACTAATTTAA